AGTAACGTAAAAAGATAGTAACGTGTCTCCGTGAAAATTTTTCCTCAAGTGTGAAATTGTTTTTTTAATGTTTTTGTTTAAATTTTTAAAAAAGAATTTATTTTACTATTCTGTTTTGCCCTTCATTGTGTGATTTTATACAATATTTTAAATAATTAAACTTCTTTTTGTATCATCAACTTTTTCTTTTTCTTACTCAGCAATTCTCTCTCAATTATTCTTTAGAAGCACCGACAACAGCAAACACACATACACATTGCATGCAATCACACACAGTGCATGCATGCAAACACACACACACACACACACACACACACACAGAACAACGCATCACACTTACACTATATGAGATAGGAGGGAATCTCTCTGGGATCGAATCCTGTCACTGAGTTAGCAGTGCCAGGCTCTTAACCACTACACCACCGCGCCTACCGTTAATATTATATTATGAAAACTTGTTTTATAATTGTTTATTTTATTAAAGATAGTATTTTATTATTCAATCCAATTATTATTTTTTATTTATTATTTCTCTTATTAAGGATATTTATTTATTTATTTATTACTATCTCGTCAAAAAATTTTTTCTCAGTTTGTTAAGCCTCCGGGCTGATGTACGGGCTTGTTAAAAATGATTGCTTAATAACAATAATAATAACAATACTAACAATAATAATAACAAAAACATAATAATAATAATAATAAACAACACACACGTCCACACAAACAAACAGAAACATACGTAAACTCGATGTTTGCAGAGTCTATACAAATACCTGTGAAGATGAAAGTGATGAAGAAGACGATGTTAATGTGATTTATGTAGTTACTTGGATTAGTTTAATCGTTTAAACGAAATAAAATTTCGTTTCGTTTCGTTTCTATCACTGTTGGTATTCAAATGAACGTTCACTAAAATTGTGTTCATCTGTCGGAAATCTTGAACCTACCGAATAACGAACTCTTGACGATCGTTTGGAAGCTCCAAAACTGGTGTGTTGGAAGTATAGAGATCTTTGAAGTTGTAACATCGGTCTTGGTAGTTTCGAGGTCAAAGATTACAACAACAACAACAACAATAATAATAACAATAATGAGCAAAAAAATAAATTATTTTTTTTTTGCAGAAAAAACCGCCAAAAAATAAATTAGAATTTTACAAATTAAAAAAAGCGGGAAAGAAAAAAATGTGTAAACTTATGTGACAAATTGCAAGTAATATCCTCAAACTGCCACTGCGTAATTACATGAAAAGTAGAGAGAAAGTGAGAAAAAGAGAGGAGAAAAAGAGAAATAGAAAGAGAGAGGAAAAGAGAAATAGAGAGAGAAAAAGAGAGAGATAAAAGGAGAGAAAGATAAAGAAAGAGAGAAAGAAAGAGAGAAAAAAAGAATACAAAGAAAGAATACAAAGTTTGTTGAGATGTCGTAAATGATTTGTGTAGAATTTTTTTACTTTTTTCTCTACCATTTTGTTTTTAGGGAGAATTTTTTCATTGTAGGCCATTTGTATATTTGTGTTCAGGATGCAATTTTTTTCAGTACGTGCTAAATTGTGTATATAAGTTTGTGTGTTTTTACACGTTGTTTTGTATTTTTTATAGTATCTTTGTATATA